GCAGGTCAAGCTTTCACTTGACAAATCCTAAAGTTCAAGCTGGAGGAGCATATTCAATTTTTACAAAAGATGCACTGAAATGCTGCACATAAAACGAAAACCCAGGCCGAATGCCTTTTTGCAAGCCTTGGTGCCTGACCTCTGCCTTGGAAGTGCCACCCCCATCGTGTCCTCTGTCCCAGGAAGGCCCGGGCTCACAGAGTCTGCCACCGCCCAGGGCAGAGAGCTTCAAACGAGGGATCAGCAAGGTTTTCCTAGACAGACAGTGGCTATTTGCGGCCTCGCCGTCTCTGCCACAACCACTCCGCTCTGCCATTGCAGCGAGAGTGCTGTGGACAGGGGGGATGCTTTTCCCATACGATGTTATTTACAAACGGTGAAATTTGAATTTCACATATGTTTTTTACATGTCGTGAAAAAATATTATTCTTTTGACTTTCCCCTCCACCATCTAAATATGCAAAACCATTCTTGGCTCACGGGCTGTGAGAAAAACAGACCATGTTTCTCTGGAAGCTGCGGGTGTGCCGGCTCTGAGGCCAGGTTCCATTCAAGCCGCCTTGGGAGGCCCAGGTCGCATGCGCACACAGGCACGCGCGCAGGTCCTTATCACCAAGTGGCTCTGGCTGGTCTGTCTTAGTAGAGTTTGCATTGCATCTTCAGCTGAACCCTTGTTCCCAGGAACTCTCTGCTGGAGAATGTGAGACAGCTGACAACAGGTGGTCACATGACCACTGCCCTCCCTCTGCTAGGGGCCCCACGTGTGTCAGGGGAAGAGCTTGGCTGATGGAGAACCGCTGGTCCAGTTCAATAGTAGTGGATGGACCATAAAATATCACAAAGCCCCTAGTAAAGGGCTCTGCTTCCAGCTCTACGTGTGCGGAAGAGAGAGCGGCACAGTGCTGGGCAGGAATGGAGCTGGGCAGGCTGCCCTGGAATGGACCGCTGGGAGCTATGTCCTCGGGGAAGGCACTCACTGCACTAAGCCTCCGTCTCCTCCTCTGGAAAATAGGGATCCGACCACCAGGTGCCTTATACAGCTAATGGGAGAGCTAAAGAAGACAAAACAGCCCCGGCCGGCAGTTAGTGTTGGCTGCGGACCGAAGGGTCTCAGGATGGATTCCTTGTCAAAGGCATGTATCTGGATTGTGGGCTCAATTCCCAGCCTGGTTCAGGGCACATGCAGGAGGCAATCAACCAGTGTGTCTCTCTCACATCTCTCTCTCTCTCTGTCTCCTCTTCCTCCCTCCCTTCCACTCTCTAAAAATCAGTGGGAAAATATCCTCAGGTGAAGATTAAAAAAAATAAGAAGATAAAACAGGTAAAGTGCCTAGAATGGTATGTGCCATTTGGTGAGCCCTCAACAGGTGGGTTATTCCAGCTTACACCCACCCAGTTGGAAGGGCAGGGGGCTTAAAACAACCAGGGACGTATGAATGAACCCCAAATGTCTAAAGAAAAAACAATAAAGGCCTTTTATCAATATCAGGAAAGAAGTTACGAATTTGTCTTTCTCCCAAGAATTTCCTTGAGTCTTTATTCTCTTCACCAGGACACCCCTTCCTGGTTCTGGGCCCAAGAGGATGTCTTCATAGTGCATCTCATTTATTGTGTGATGCCTCTGGCTCAAAGCCTCCTTATAATATCTACACTAATAAAAGAGAAATATGCAAATTGACTGTACCTCCGTGACACCCACAAGCCAATCAGGAGTGGGTATGCAAATTAACCCAACAGAGCTGATGGGTTAATTTGCATATACAGGTGTGGAGTGGCTGGGGGCTGGGTGGCTGCTTGTGTGCACGATGGCACCAAGTGGCCTGCATCCCAGGGACAGGCATCCTCGGGACCCGGGCCTCTCTGAGCCTGTAGACCTGCTCATAGGCCCGGAGCACCTGGGGTCCTGGAATGACCCCATCCACTCCAGGCCTATGCACGCAGGTGGGGCAGCTGGGGGCGAGGCGGGAACATCCGCTGCGTTGCATGGCAATGTAATGGATGTTCCTGCCCTGTGGCTACTTATACACTCACCATTGCCAAGTGGCCTGCATCCTGGGGACAGGCATCCTCAAGAGCCAGGCCTCTCTGAGCCTGTATGCCTGCACGTAGGCCCGCAGCGGCTGGGTTCCTGGAACAACTTCCTGGCCACTCCGGGCCTATACCTGCAGGCACAGAGCAGCCGGCGGTGGGGCATGAGCATCCCTGTGACCCAGGCACTCCGAGCCCGTATGCAGGCAAGTGGCCTGAGGCAGGGCAGAAATGTCCCGCACAGTGAACGAGCAGACAGCAGGGCCCTGCTTGTCCCTGGCCCTGGTGGCGAAGGGCAAGCAGGTCCCCACGGAGAGCAGACAGCAGGGCCTGCGGTGGCATCAAGCAGGCAGGTCCACAGAAAGCAGAGAACCACAGGGAGTCAGCAGCTGCCCCCAGAGATTAGTTAATTGGATAGTTAACAAACACCCACATTGACTAGGCCTAAACAATCAGTAGGACATCCCCTGAGGGCTCCCAGATTGGAGAGGGTGCAGGTCAGGCTGAGGGACACCCAACCCCTGTGCATGAATTTCGTGCACCGAGCCCCTAGTCAGATGATAATACACATCATAATAACATCTACATCCTTAGTGTCATGGGAAACCGTGGGCTTAGATTCCCCACCTCCCCAGTGACGCCTGAGCCCCTCTGTGGTCTTCTGGCCTCACCATCAAATGTCCCTGTGAATGGCCCATAGCCCAGGGCTGCCCAACTGAGTGGAGGAGGAAAGCCAGCTTCCACTCTGTTCCTGGCCCATTGGAAGCACGTCCTTAAGAGTTGACCATTATCCTGACATGCCCAGAGCTTTGCAAACCATGAACTCATCTTCACATGTCACCTCCTGTAATTCTCACAGTAAAAGCCCAGCCCCGTTTGACTCTAAACCTTGCCCGCTGTCCACAACACCTGCCCCTCGCCTCCATGCGACCTCTGACCTCCGTGGTAGGGACTGGAATGCTACCGCGCAATCCGTGCTGCTTGTGGTGAGAAGTTCTGAAGTTGTTTGTCATGTATAAAAACTGGTGGAGCCATTAGCTGCCACCAGAGATCGGTTAATTGGATAGTTAACTAACACCCACCTCGACTATCAAACACCCACAACGAGTTAAGTCGAGCTGATGTTGAGGAAAGGAAAGGAAGCGAAACACTGACAGTCGCTTTCCTGAGATGGAGCTGTGCAGCCCTCAGAAGGGTGAGCCTCAGAGCTGGGCCAGCTCCAGGGAGGGGGGCAGGGGGGCTGTGCCTGCTGTGAGCATTGTTGGGGGTGTGGCTACTCCTGAGGGGCCTAGAACCTGCCCCCAGGAGCCAGCACATCTAAACCGGAATTCCAGTGCTATCTTCACCCGGAGCACAAGCAAAATGCCTATGCCCGGCTCCAGCGCCTGCGAGGCAGGCAGGTAAGTTCTGTGTGCAGTCCCGGCCCCTTTTCCCGGTTCCCTCGCTGGTTGGGAAAAAAGGGAGAAGACAGTTCTCAACATGAGTGCGTAGGCTTCAGAGTTCTTTGCTCTTCTAAATGGATCCCAAGATCATGCGTCATCTAGAAAAGAGAAAATCCCTATCTCTTTCTCTACTGGCTCCTTCTGTGCCCTAGGAAAGATGCTGCTGGGCCAATCTCCGCACATCCCGCCACAGCCCCAACACCCCGGGGGGCTTCTCCGCGGGGCCGAGGGGCCGGGCTGGGACCAGGCTGAGACTCTGCTCCTCCTCCTCCACCCGTCCCTCCCCCTCGCTCAGGACCACGTTTGTTCCCACAGGGGCGTTCCGAGGGGTCTGCAAGAAAATCGACCACTTCCCCGATGATGCTGACTACGACCAGGACACATCTGAGTATCTGCTTCGTAAGTTGCCCGATTCCCAGGTCTCCCCAGGAGGGAAGGGTGCCCTGGAGTTGCCCAGCTGCCTCTGACTTCACTGCTCAGAGCTCCACCTAGAAATGGATGCTACAAAGGAACCTTCAGGGGCCCCTGCTGCTAGACAGGACGCCCAAGCGGGTCTGATAGCCAAGTCTCTCCCTTCACTGAACAAGAAACGGGGAATAAAGCGGGCCAGTCACAGTGCGGAGATGCCTGTGGTCTGCTTGGGAAGAAATCTAAGGTTTTCTTTAACCGGCAGCCAAGTTTGCACCTTCCCCGGAGGGCTGTGAGGTGTTAATGGAGAAGGTGCTAATGGGAAAAGTGCTAATGGCCCAGGTGCTAATGGGCGGGGTGCTGGGGCAAGACCTGGGGAAGTAAATGAGCGCAAAGCTCACCCCTCTGACTCAGTCCTCCCAGGGCAGAGCCAGTGCCTCCCTAGGATTGTCCCAAGGTCATTCCCAGAAACGGCACGGACTGTCCCCCAGGCAGCACGCCGAGGAGCAGAGAGTGATGGCTCAGAGCCAGGTCTCCTGCCGGCCACTGTGGACTGGCGCCCGTCTGGCGCCCTGCCAGCGGGGATGGACCTGGGCCAAGCCGCCTATCTCTCCATCTCTTCGCTTTCTTTATCTCGTCACAAATGAGATTATACTGTCACCCTCTGACAGGGTCACACAATTAAATAAGCTCACCCCCGCTCCACTGAGCCAGCATGTCATCAGGAAGCCCCACACATTAGCTCCTTTCCTTGTGTAAGATGAGCAATAGCAAGGTCCAGCGCAGACAGGGGCCTGACACTGACCCAGGCACCGGGAGAACTTGGGACTTAATGTCATTGAAATGCGACCTCTCCACTGGGCATGTGTCCCCGTTCGCCTGGAAGGGGACTGCCAGGGGAGTGTTAAATGCAAGGTGGTATTTTTAAAACTGTTATTAAAGCAAAAGCTTTGAGAAATTGTCCTATTCAGATTATGTGTGTAACTCATCGCTCAAGGGGAGTGTTTTTACAATGAAAATCATTTTTAGCTTCAGTCTGCAGATGGGCTGTGGGTCTATGTATGAGCCTTTAATCACGTAACAATGTGAGTGGTGCAGAGGTCAATTTAAAATAAAGTCACTTGGGTGTGAAGAGAGCAGAGCGCCTGAAGAATGGCTCCTCTGTGAATAACACATCCAACAGCAACTCGGGCTTATTCTGAACAAGGGGCAGGATGCTAGGACTTTCTGTGACAGCCCTACACATGAAAAAATAAATAAATAAAAAAATAAAAATAAAAAATAAAATAAAATAAAGTCACATTTAAGCTAATTTTTACAACATAAACATACCACTTATCTCTTTTCAGTTCTTATCCGCGTACCAGCCTTTAACAAAGGCCTACGGGGGGAGGAGGGGTGTTTCTGCCTTGACCCACGTTTGGGGATGACAGAGTCCTGGGACCCCTCCAAAGAGGACTTCACAGTCCCACCCAAGGGGTTTCCCCGAGTGTTCAGAGCTTTTCTGTTTTCTTTCCTGTTGATGAGACTGTGGTGTCTGCCTGTTGGAGACCGAAGGGAACTGTGACTTCTATCTCACAACCGGCAAACCTGCTCCGCAGCTCTTGGGAGCAGACCAGGGCTTTTCCACAAAAATGTCCAGGCCTCTGGGAGGGCGGGGTCCTCACCACGGCCCATCTGTGCTCACCGTGAGCCACGGGAGCGGCCAAGGTTAAGGGTCCAGCACACGGATTTCCTGCTGAGAATTTTAGAGACACTGACCCAGCCACAGGGTCAGGGTCATGTTCCCGCAGGGTGCCGGCCCTGGTGTGACCACACGTGGTGGGACAGGGCTCTGCACTGATTTCTGCCGCCTCCTCCTTCCCGGGTGCTGCTGGTTGGGGGACAGCTTCCCCCTGCAGCGGGAGGCTTGTCCACAGGCATCCCTGTGGGCCAGAGACGCCCTCAGAGAACCGGGACTCGGGCCACCCTCTCAGAGCCAACGGTGAGTCACCGGGAATAAGCCCCCTCCCCACCCGGAAGACCCAGCTCAGCCTGGGCGTTTGGGGAAGAGAACAGTGAAGCCTGTTCGGAAGCCACCACCAAAGGGGTGGCGTGGAGGAAAGATGGGAGGGTGGCCAGGTCGGCTCAGGGCGGGCAGGACTGAGGTGTCCCCTGGGTCTGGGCTCAAACAAATCCAGAGCGGATGCCAGCCGACAGGCAAAAACGGCACAGCTGGCGTGCGGTGTGAGGCAGCCAGGAGTGGGCTGGCCACCGACTGGTCACCACGCGGTGACGGCACCACACGACCACGCCTCCCACACACGCACGTCCAGTGCTGTGCCAGTGCTGGTGTGCTGGGACTGGCCGGCGTGTTGGTGGCGGGCATGGGATCCATGGGAGCCCAGGACTGGGTAGGCCAGGAATAGGCAGGGCCCCGTGCCACATGAAATCCAGGCTCCTGGTTCGAATGTGGGCAAAACAAAACGTCCCCCTCTGCTGCGACCTGCCATCCTGGCACAGCGCCTCATATGCTTTCGCTGCCACTCCCTCCTGCAGGGACACTCAGAGGGCCCTGCTGCTTCTGTGCCCATGCCCAGCCCCCACCAGGAGCAAAGAGCGGCTGTGCTCGCTGGCTGGGCAGGAAGGGAAGTGGGCAGCTGAGGATCCATCCCCAGGGGAAGGGGAGGTGGTAGGCAGGGAAGGGAGGTGGGAAGAGGTGCGTGAGGCTTGGAGCCCCGGGTAGCTGCGCTGGCCCATCAGACTTCCTCAAAAACCCAGACCCAACGCTAGATGACTGAGTTTCAGGGTGCGACGGGCTCTGGGGAGGCGCTGGTCTGGGCCACGAGGACGGGCTGGCTCCCCTCAGGCATCCGTGCGGGCGGGCCCTGGGCTGCTGGGACAGGCGGCCTCTCCTTCTCTCCGCAGGGGCCGTGCGGGCCTCCAGTGTCTTCCCCATCCTCAGCGTCACGCTGCTCTTCTTCGGCGGGCTCTGCGTGGCGGCCAGCGAGTTCCACCGCAGCAGGCACAATGTCATCCTGAGCGCGGGCATCTTCTTCGTCTCTGCAGGTGAGCCGGGCCGCCCTGACACCGTAGACTCCCCCCCGAGCAGGCGAGGCCAGGCCGTGCTGCTCAGGGTTCCCCCGGAAAGGCATGTTAGGGAGGAGGCCCACGGGCTTTACCAGAACAGAGGGGCGGCGTGGAGGAAAGACGGGAGGGTGGCCAGGTCCGCTCAGGGTGGGCAGGACTGAGGTGCCCACACTCACACGAGGGAGGGGGGTCTGAATGGCGTAAGGCCTAAGAGTCAGGGCCTGAGAGTGTTTGAAAATGTCCAGCTTCTGCTCAGCAGGGCCTCTTCATACAGGAGCTTTGGCCTTTTGAGGTCTGTGTCTGCTGGTTAACGATTGCTCACAGCTTCTCATGGCTCAAATCTTCATACTGCTCAGGGCACCTCGGAACAAGGCAAGCCCAGCAGCACCAGATGCCACCAGGCGTGATGTTGGTCAGGGGCAGCCCTGACCACGGGGGCCCATGGTGGCAAGGAGGATGAGAGACCAGCTGAAGGGAGGGCTTGCTCTCCGTCTTCTCTCTCCTCCCTTCCTCACCACTCTCCTCATCTCCTCCTTCCTCTTTTCTTACACCCCCTCCCCTCCACTCCCCACCTCACACCCACTATGCCATCCAGATGCAATGCTTCAGGAAAGCCAAGAGCAGGCAGGGGGCTGGGACGGGGCTTGCCTCTTGGTGATGACCTCACTCTTTGCCAATAATGTGCATATTTCTTGGGATGGGAACATGGGGGAAGAGCTTAAAGGGTGGCGCTTACGTCATGAGTTTGCGGTCTGGCTCCAGCTGCGTGGCCTTGGGAACGCTACCAACGCCCTGTAGCTTGGTTTCCTCGCCTGTAAAGTGGGAAATAATAACACTTCCTACCTCATAGGGTTGTTGAAAGTAGGTGGAACCCAAGCAGCACAATATTACTTGCTAGTATTGGCGAAGCAGCGGAGATACAGTCCCGGGCCCTGTAAGACCTTCCTCTCGGTCCCTCCCCGCTGCGTCCCCTCTGTGAACCGAGGAGGCTGGACCTCATCCTGCTCCGGGAACTGACCAGCAACAGACCAGAAGCTGCCATCCTGCCCCAGGGTGTGCCACCCCAAAGGAGCGGGCCCGGCCGCACGCCGTGGACAGAGGGTCACAGCTGGCACACTCAGGGACACGTGCTGCTTCGAGGCACGTTCTATGCTCTGGCGGCCCCTCCAGGCCCTGGGCGCCGCTGCCCAGAAGAGATGCCTTGTGCTGAGGGGAGGGCTTCCTAGCTGGAGGAGACCCTGACTGTGTGCCCCAGGGAGGCATGTCCCCAGCAGCAGGAGGTGCCGGGCTGCCGGGCTGAGCAGTACAGGGAGCTGGGAGCCTGCGGGAGGAGGACAGGACGTTGGCATCAATCCCAGGCCACCTCCCCACGGACCTCCCCTGGGAACTCAGAGAGCCTCAGGGTTCCACCTACAAAACGGAGAACTCGCATCTCCAAGGCTCTTTTCCACTCAGCGATTCTGCCCATCTGTGGTCGCAGACAAGCAATCAACAGCCCTTCCCTGAACACCTACTGTGTGCAAAATGCTGAAGAGCACGGGCTCTGAGGCCGGCTGCCTGATGCAGATCTTGGTTCTACTACTTCCCGCTCTGTGACCTCGGACACGGCTCTTAACCTTCCTGTGCCTCAGTTTCCTCATCTGAAAAACGGGGCTAGTAATGGCTCTACCTCTTGGGGCTGTTGAGAGGATAAATGTGTTGGTGTAAAGTGCCTAGAACTTCCTAGCACACAGTAACTTCTCAATGCACAGTAGCTGCCTTCTATACCCAGGTCCATGGCATTCTTATGCCACCTCAGTGCACTCATTCAACACGCAAATATGCCCTGCACGCGTGCTGTGGGCTCAGCTCCGGGCTGGGGAGGGGCCTCAGCAGTGACACTGGTCTCGCCCCTGCCCGCAGTGAGCTGACAGCGGGCAGCAGGAGCCGTGATGCCCACTTACCACTGGTTCCTCGTGAGCTTCACACCCCACCACATTCCTGGCCATGTCGGCCTGGAAAGTTCCCCTGCTCTCTGCCTCGGTCTTGCCACCCGAGGGAGAGGGGATTTTTCAGTGAGATCGGCACGTTCAGGGTGGTATGGCCGTAGACGAGAGGGGATTTTTTTAACACGGCCACTGTCATGGCTGCCTGAAGCGGGCACAGGAAGTGCCCGATATCACCTGACTTCTCGCTTCCTTTCACCCGGTCTGACCTCTGAGCCTCTCTTGGAACTTTGATTTTTCTGGCAAGACTTCTATTGGGAGCTTCCAGGGTGTTCCCGCCGCAGCGGGGGTCAGGGTCATGGCAAGAAGCTGAAATGTCTTTGTCTGTCTCCCATGGACACTTCAGACATCCGCTCTCTTCTTGTCTGCTCCCTCCTCGTCATACTCACGTTCGTTTGAATGAGAAAGCCTGGGCCTGCCCTCCTCACCCTCGCGCTGGCCTCCGCAGAGGAGCCCTCCAGCCCATGGGGGCTGCAGCGTGGCCGGCCTGGGGGCGCCACCCGCCCTGAGACCAGCTCAGGGGTAGCGCCCGCGCGCAGACCGCCTGTGCGGAGTAACGCCAGGAGGCGGGAGAAGCAGCCCCTGGTGCGCGGGCACCAGCCGGGCAGAATGGCAGCATGAGCGGGCCCTGCTTTCACCTTTCGGGTGCTGGCCCATGGGGAGACCTTGGGGATCCCTGGGAAGAGTATGCGGTGCTCGGGAAATGGAAGGCAGAGCCAGGAGGCCCTGACAACGATGACTCACCAGCCAGTGCTGGCAGGACACTGAGGGGCGCGGCGGGTGGTCTGAATTTGGAGGCAAGGAGATGCCAGCAATGTGCCAACCTCTCAGAGTCATTGCTGGCATCGAGGCCCCGGTGAGGCCCTTGGAGCAAAGGAACAATGAGCCATACTGCCTTTGGAGCAATAATGGGAGGGAGGGGTGAGACACAAGCTCAGATCAGGCCCAGGCTCCGTGGCTTCTTCTCGCCACTCCCCAGAGAGCCGGCAACCTCCGCGTGCTGGTCTGCTGGCACCTGGGGACACCGACTGGGCGACAACGCCATGTCCCCATCCCGATGCTCCAGCAGCAGCGAACCTGCACGTTACCGCACCCTGCGGAGGGGACTCGGGAGCCACTGTCCCTCCCCGCGGCTCCTTAGGTCCCCAACCGCAGCTGCAGCTCCACACATGTCCACTGGCAGCTACCACCT